CTGAACTCATTCAATAGAAATGTAATGATATGGTCTTCTAAGTACACACTTTTATGTAACCTGTACGGCCTGATGAGTGTACTCTTAGAACATTGCAATTTAGAAAATAATATAACTTTTATATCAAGGCAATAAGGTGAATATTGGAATGATAACAAGATAATAAATTGTAAAGATGAGATGGTAAATGTTTGCTGCTGTGAAGAATAGTCTATCATGCGAGTAGAACAAATTTATATTCGACAACATTGACATTTCACACAATTGCATAATGGCAATTATCATTTGTAATAAGTGAGAGTTCGTGTCTCTTTACCTTTCTATATTACAGTTCTCAGTATTCCTATATCATAATACAGTGTAATTATCTTAGTACTGGGAATATAATATAGTTTCGATATAGATTGTAAGTAATAATCCAATTCGTAATGTTTCTGTAATAAAATTTATCAAGTAACGCAAATGTTGGTAATATTGCAATTCTTAAAAAAAAATTATGAAACTGTATGTTGCTATACTGTGGCAATTCGTAATAAAATTCACAGAAACTACAGTTGCCATTGCATTGTTGACATATTTGACGGAGTATGCAGATGTTACTGTATTATGTCAATTTCCAACAAAATTTGACGATAATGCAGATTTTGTTACAGTGATGCATTTCTTAGTAAAATTGGCAGAAATTTCACATGTCATTCAAATGTTTCATTAAAAAAAGTATTGCTTTACTGTTCCAATACAAGTATAACAAACTGAAAAGGATTGCTGTATGTGATATAAGCACTGTTGAAATATTTTAAAGAATAGACAGGAAATGTAGAGGTACAATTTGTAAATTTGGCACAAATTATTCTTAACAATTAAAAAACTTGATATAAAATATAGATTTTTTTATACAATTTTGAATGGCAAACAAGCTCCGGCCCACCTGATGGAAAGTGGTAACCGTCGCCTATAGACATGAGCAGTACCATGAACATAATAGAGTATACTGTTTCGCCTATGATACCCCCCATGCGTTGCAATTCCTGAGGACTCAGGTGTTATTCCTCTGTACCCAGTAAATTCATGCCATATCCCACCCTTCAAACCGAAATACAGCCATGCAAACACAACTGCTTCATGATTGAAAGACGAATGGGACAGAGGTACCCAAGCAATCGACTTTTGTACAAAGATCTTGTTGTACTGCTGCGAATGTTGTAATGTCTAATAATATTTGACTAAGAAGTGTTGATGTTGCTGACGTGAACTTAGAAGAGTTCAATTATAATAATAAACTAAAGAATGTCATGAATCATCATCAATCTTCTGGGCGTTCACGCAAGCATTCAACGAAAGTGCATTGTGAGTATAATAGCGTATTCTGGTCAAATGGCTCGGTCATGAATTTAGGAGATAATATAATTCTTAGTGGATAATTTACTTAGGGAAGTAACGTTTTCACGATCTAGCTCAACGGCGAGCATTCGTCAGCTGCCTGGATAATTTCTTCCTTTTAACTTTATAATTATTCACAACCACTTTTATGTTTTAGATTGTAAGATTGTTGTTGGGCTATTGTCCGTGAGGTTCGAGTTATGTTTATACAACAATTATTTTCTTTAGACTGAGGTGACGTTTTTAACATCCATGGATGTGTTTCTGTTTGAAGGGTAGGATGTAGTAATGAAATTACAGGATACGGAGGGACAATATCTTAGTTCTGGGAGGAAAATATTGTTAGTATTAACTTCCACATTGCCAGGTCGATCTACGGCAGTTCCCCTGGGAACCATCAAATTTAATTCCGAGTAAATTTATCACGATAGGCCAACTGACCTGTCTTTTCATCCTCATTATTCATCTGTCACTGGTACCTCGCCAGGGTATACCGTTAGCGCAGGTAGAGTTGCCATTATATTGTCATCCATTATAATACATCTTAGTTTTCAGGTATAGCAACGCATGGTCATCACTGTTTACTATGTGATGGGCATGGTGCTGTTCATGTTATATTACCACACATTACCACTTATTATTAGATAGGATGTCAGCTCAGAAAAAAAATCTAGAATGTTACATACACCTAAAGCCAATTCTATAATAAACAAAGGGTTTTTATTGTTTGTTGTATTACTTACATTGTTTATTATTCGTGTGAGCCACGTAATTGTGATCACGAATACACGATTTAGATTCCCCGTCCCAACATACTGTTGGCATTTGCAATTATTTGGCTGCATACATTTGCTCCCTTGTTTATTACAATTATAATACAAGTAAAGGTGTGAGCAAAACTAAATACTGAAACACTTCCAAAAAGAAAAATTGTTAAGTTACATATTATAGGTATAATTATGTTGGTAATTAAATAATGTTGTGTATTTTATTTATATATAAGTAATAGTAGTTATATTATATACGAGTATAATTTACACTGTTTTAAGGATATTTAAAGTCACGATTGCCAACTATTCTATCACGCAGAGGCATTTGATTAAATGAACATTGAAATTAAGTGGTATAATAAATTATATAGTTTTATTACTTATACTATATTTTTTTATTAAAAACATATCTAATAGTAGTAAGCTGACGCGTCTTCACAATAAGTAATTTAACTTATTTATTACAGAATAAAAGTGAAAGAAATATATCCATTCGACCTATAATATGATATAGTCATTAGATACATTTTTTTGAACAATACTGTTGTGGTAAATGGAACACTCAATATGCTTACCATCATTACTGATTAATTTGCTTTGTTAACAGTATCTGGAAGATACTGTTAACAAAGCAAATTAATACTATACTACTCACCGAAGTTAGATAAATTGACAAACAAGTTTTTAAGTATCCGATTCGAACTCACGACCTTTGTATTGTATATTACTAAACCATAATACTCTCGATGATAGTAAAAAATAAACATTCTTCTTCTAAGCTACTTCTTTTAGGCAATAAGCTGATGGCTCATCTGATGGAAAGTGGTATATATAGACATGAACAGTATTATGGACATAACAGAGTATATTGTGGAGGGGAAAGGAATTGTTAGTAATGGAGACTGAGAATCCGATTGCAATATACCCAACCAGGTCGACCTCCTCGCGGTTCTCCCTGGGAACTATCATGATTAATTCCTGATGAATTCGTAATGATGGGCTAACTGGCCTGTTTTCTTTCTCATCGATCACCCTTCATTGGTGCTTCGCCAGCGTATCCCGTTAGCGCAGGCGGGGTTACCATACCATTTTCCTCCATAAAAAAAAGAGTATACTGTGGTACACTTAACGAGTTGCCATTCCTGGGGTCCAAGGTGTTATGCCTCTATATCCTGTAATACACTTCACGAGTTGCCATTCCTGGAAACCAAGGTGTTATGCCTCTGTACCCTATAATTTCACTGCTACATCTCATTTTTTAAACAGAAGCAGCTATGTAAACACAACTGTTCACGGTAGAAACACGAATGGAACAAAGATATTCCAGCAGACGACTTTTGTACAGTCTCCCATATTACATATTTACAAATGTCATTATAAAAGAAGTGAATTACGTGAGAGAAAATTAAAAACAAGTAAAATATTATCTTACAATAAGTAATAATATTACTCCATAATATTATTCTGCTCACGTCAAATATTTACTATATTCAGTAAAGTTGTTTTATAAAATTTATAACTCTTTACGAGGTCCAAGAATTCATATACAAGTATTTATGGCGTATTCGATATTGAAAAAGAGATAGTACCTTCTGGTTCTATTTAAAAGAGACATTTCTAAATAAAAAGTTCCATATTTGAAAATTGTAGAATAATTAATTTCCAGATAAATTCTGAACTGTTATTTTTTTTATATTTTATTTATTTAGGCTTATGTTGATCAATGTTAGGGTGTTTTTAGTAATTAGTCTGTGCGTTAATTGATGCAGCAGTACATGGGAATACATGGCTTAAGTTGGAAACATGTTTTTGTGCAATTAGTTTTTATGTTTTTATTATCTTATCATTGATGATATCTAAGATACATAGATGGCCTTTAGTTAGTTACCAACTATTATAAAGAGAGATACAAGAAACAAAATCTCATAGGGATCCCGTTTTACCGCTTTAGCTACTAGACCCAAAATAAATGTAAAAAGCCTAAATAATTAAATCTTTATTTATTATTATTATTTACTTTAAGTTACATTTAATCATAAACTAGACCTGTATAATTTAAGCCTGAGATATTTTTTTTTGTGAAAAAGCAAAGAACTTGTAAAACAAAGTTTTTTTTTTGTTCTAAAATTACAAAGTTTTGAATTCGCCTATAGTTTTGGTATGTTATGCAATGTCTATGCCGATTTTGACGAATGTACTAATTCTATTAAGATTTAAGACAGCTGTTAGTGGAACAAACTAATAAATTATTATAAACACGAGACTGACAAGGCTTGTTTATCACATAACATTTGTTTTGCGAAGTTTGATTTATTTCGAATGCGTCCTACGTTCGCACATTTCAACTTTTCTAATGTAATTTTATTCTCTCTCGTTATAGTGCCACATAAGGTATGGAGGCAATTGGTGTTGAATTTATAGTTAATTCTATTGATGTAACTATCATAAATTTTCTGTTGTGGATTCAGCGCAATTTTTTGCTCTTGTAGGGTTGGTATGGCCTTTTGTCTATTTTTTTTTTGTCAAGTTAATTTTATAATGTAACATATAGAGGTAACCGTTTTTTGTGGCTTTACTCGCATGAACAAAATAAAAATTAAAAATTAAGTATCCTATGTTTTAAATTAGGCTATAACCTATCTGTATGCAAAATTTTATTGAAATCCATGCATTCGTTTAATCGCGATTGAGTAACAAACATTTGAATATCCAGACATTTTTACAGTTTTCCTCATTTGTAATATTAGTAAGATAAGAAATCATTAAAGAAAAAAAATCATTACCTACAAATCGTTCTGTAAAATTGAATTATGTTTCAATCGACTTATCTATCCGTTTCATTGTTTTCAGATTCAATATGGCGGTGTGGTTATGAGATCGAACATACAACAACTTCTAGGTGAGTCCAGAATGCAAATGTATTATGCAAACAAACATGTTTATGCTATAAGCACATAATGAGTCTATTCAAACATTTAGGATCTATTTACACTATGACTTTCTCTTCAAATATCTTTGGCATCAAAAGACCGGTACGCAAATTTAGGCAAAGGAATATTATACAAATATATATTTTATGAAAATCTGATTATACAAATATGTATACTAACCTTATATGGATAAATGGTGTATTGGCAAATCAAAGGGTGTGGTGCTAAGCATATGAAAGAGGAATTAAGATTACTACCCACGGTGTTTGCTTGCAAATAGAGACATTAAATTATGTGAACACTGACACGGAATTGTATTAATAAATTATTGTTGTATTGTACAGGTACAAGTGGTTTATTTTTTTATATATATTTTTGTAACTTATGAAACATAGCCTATGTTGGTAGATCATGGTTGTTTATAAAAGTAATTATAGGTAACTTTAATTTTTTGAAATGACCTATTGCGGTATTGCAAGTATTTAAATTTAATGGTCGACGGATGGGCAGCAGCGTGCCTCTTAAAACATCAATAAAACCTTATTGCGGTTGCCAACTTGCCTGTGAAGCATGGTAAATATTGGAAAAACCCTCCTTAGGTGGAGGCCTTAATTTAGCATTGGATAATTAACGGTAGATATAACGATAGTGAAGTATTAAAAATTTTGAAAATATGTTTTTTTTTTTGCTATAGAATTAAGTGTTTTTATTAATATTAGGATACAATGGCTTTGAAAAGTTTCTGATTCCTCAGAAATTTTGTTTTGTCAATAAATACTATATAGAAAAGTAAACATTTATTCAAGTAAAGTATCACAATTGGAGATTCCCTGCAACTTCACTAGAAATGCAGGTTTCGTAGTGCGTCGTGAAATAAAGTATAACTGCATATTGAACGTAAATCAGTTCTATGCGTTCGGAATGCGAGATTGCCATGTTGCAAGTTGTGATCCTCGGCCAACTTCGACAGGTTTTGGATCGAGCTCGCTATCTAAAGCACTTTTGATCGCGTTAGGCAACACGACTTAATGCTTATAATGTTACAGGTTGTTTATTGGCGCTTTTGGTACTACTTCATAAATGTTCAGCTTATCTTATCCTGTGGGATACTGAATAAAGTCCTTACGTTTAATCGTAGTGTAAATATTCTCGTCTCAAAGTTCAATGCACATATACGGTTCTTGGGAACAAAATATCTCGAATTTAATAATATTAACAGTAAAGAGTAGCTCGTTTACTCATTTGCAAGGGATGAAAATACAAGTGTTAGTTTTAAAACTTCTTTAGTCATCGTTACTGTCGGTAATTTTTTTGCTTTCATTATAAAGATCTAGTGACATAGTTTTAAGAATATTTCTTTCTACCCATTTCTTTAGTTACAAATCTGTCTAAAGGTAGATAACAATACGCTTTGGACGAAAGTGTAGGTACGAGTTGTTTGTTGTACAAATTGTTACGGTAACTGGCATTTACGCTCGTGGAATCACTAATATGAAGTGGTGTCAATACGCTTGTATAGAATTCAAACATTAACTGTAAATAGATACCTTGTTTGGCTGTGTCTGCAGAAGTATTTTTAGATACACCCACTGTTAGATTAAAAGACAATAGAAATGTTAGTCATCCCACATTTTTTAGCATATTGTTTTTTATCCTTGTAAAATTTTATACTATTTCTAAAGCAAACAAGCCTATGAACATCATTGATGTTCTAAAAAATGTTCATTATCACAACTATCATTTATTGATAGTCCAATTTCAACAAACCAAGAAGTTACAGATTTTGTATACGAGAATTTAGAAGTTATATTGGTTATTTTGAATTTATGGCGGCTCGGGATTTAGATTGCCATAAGGAACGATCTTTGTAGCAATCTATAGGAGAGGACTGTGTTCAGCAGTAGCTAGTTAATGACTGATATGATGATAATGTTTGACTATATTGCATGTTACAATGAAACCAATATGTTCGTTGCTTTACGACAGAAATAATAAGATTGAACCAGACGGGTAAATAAAACTCTTTTCATTACATAATATGTATTCGTCTTATTTTTTTTTAATTCATATTTATTTATATATTTTTTGTATATATCGTTTAAACAACTTGACATGAAAAAATAGACAATGTAATTAAGTATATTGATTAAACTCAGATAATGCTTTGAAGATTAATCGTACATGTAAAGTGAACATAATTAGAATGTTTCTTGTCCGGACCTGACAAGATAAATTTATATATCGTGCATAATATAACACTAATGAACTAAACATTAATAGAATCATAGTGAAGTGTATAAAAAACTTCGAGTAAGAAATAAACAAGGTTAGAGATCGTAAGTTTAGTTTTTACAATACAAAATGTATAATTTATACTATTTTGGTAACTTCCTTGTTTTAGTCTTCTGTTCCTTTCCTTCATGTAAGTGAAGTTTTGGCTTTGATTCTCTAGTAGAGGATCAAAATTCAATTTATCGATGTACTGCGACTTTTTAATTGCCTTGAATTGATTTTTTTCTGGATATTGTTTTAGATTTTACATTAACAGCTGAAAATTTCATTAGATCTGATTAAAGAAATTAATTCTTCTAATTCTTGTTAAGTTTGTTATAGTTACAAATGTAGTAAACTGAATATGAAATGAAATAAAATGTAAAATTTATTATTGGCATCGAACAATCTTATATGGTTGTTGCACACGTTGCTTCAATATCATTAATTCGATCTCAGAGCTACAAGAAGCTTTAGAGCTAATAAGGTCTTTTACAGCTGCAACGCGAGAATTTGAGATCTCAGTTCGAAGATTGGAAATACGGGTCTAGATTGCGTCAACGCACGTCTCTATATGGGATCGAGTTTCAATGTTCACTTTGTTATTTGTTTTTTTTTTTAACCTTAAATAGGGTAGATACTAAATGATATAGTCCTAGTTGGTATTTATATATTTTCTTAAATGTTCTTTAGTTCCATGGACATCTTTTCAGTGACAACTTTAAGAAAACCCTTATTTTCCTAGTAGTAGTTTAAATGTTGATTCTTTTCCTGTCTGGTTGGATTGTAAGTAGTAATTTATTACGTTCAATTTAATTGCTGAAAACAAGTTATTTATAATAGTTTTATTTTTAAACAAGTGAATTAAGTAGAATTGTATAAATTTCGTTAATTTTGCAATCGTTAATGTTTACTCCTGTATTGGTCCCATACTAATTTTGTCAAGATTGTGTTCGCCGTTTTATTTATTTTTGATAAGCTAAATCTAAATCATCATAATAGCTAACGGTAATAGTTTATAGTGATCTGTCATTCGTTTTGCATTCTCAGTTTGTTTCATCGAAATATCTAGTTAGTGTATTTCCTACTCACCGTGTATTTTCATTCCCTGTTTACTCTAAATAACGGTACAGGCTCTATCGCTGCCCTGGCATAATTTGATAATACTTCTGCACAGAACCAATCGTTGTAAGGAGGCTTCATAATTGAACCTATAAATTTAATAGTGAAAATGATTATTTGTTAGTTAAACATATATTAAATTGTGAAATGTGAATTGTAATTTATCATAACATCTCGCTCCTTCATTTTCCTTACGCATATTGCCTTACGCATTTATGTATGTGAATGTAAACAATTCTTTTTTTTCTTTGTTATGCATTTTTTTTTTTTATTATTGTCCATGTGGATAATGTGTTTATCACATTGGCGGCGTTTATAATTTTCCATTAATGATCTGTAAATTAAAATTTCACTTTGATGTTACAACATAATAATTTTTTTCTGAATTATTAAAATTGATTCAGAATAGTTCATTCAATATTTTACATTTAGTTTTTATTGATTTGTAACATAATAGTTTCTCTAAATTATCAATTTAATATTTTAATTTTACAGACAAGTTTAGGGAATTGAATTGACCCCATTATATTATTTATTTTTCTATAATACAGTTGTTATTGGATTCATCTAAGATTATATGTATATTTATAGCATTAGTTAAATTTTTCATAGCGTTATCTTAATATGTAAAGTTATGTATCTATGTTGTTGCAACAAGTAACGGATATTCTAACAAATCAGCCTATTTAGATGCGATGTTACGAGCTTACGGGAAAAGTTGTAACTTCTCAATAATGATCGATGTTTTTTATCTAATCAAATCTCGGTTCTTATTATGTCTTAAGTGTTATAAGATTTTCGATTGTCTAACTAGTGAATGCAATAAAACAGAAGGCATCTACCGTTACTATACTCTAATTTGACCGTTATAATTTCTTCCCATCATCTGTACGCTTTTATTCGTCTAATGGTTCAAGTAACAATTATGACAACTTGGTTTAACGGCCTTATAGTGTTACGTCATCACGTAACGGTGGTGGACGTCATCTGAATATCAGACGAACCATCAGCGATATGGTCATTTACATACATATATTCAGCACGTTTGTAATATGAATGAAATCTTGTGGTGACATACATAGTTCATTCATTGAAAACAGCAGGTGTAATAGCAGAGCAAACAATTATTATGATTTTAAAATATAAAATTATGTGACCAGTCAATATTTATTAGATTATGAAAAATCATATTGGGTTAGGTTCTTTCAGTCGCAGTCGTTTGCTCTGCCATAAAATATAATATATAGATGAATGGCCATTTATCTTTATAAATGGTTATTTAAATCGTCAGTCGTCACAATGATGGGAATATACGTATACAATGTACGAAATATTGAAGGAAAACTTATCAATTGTAAAATTAAATTTTGAAAAATCAGTTTAGAATATTTTTGTATTACTACTCTAAAAAGGAGTGTAATGTTGTCCGTTTGTTTTTGAACGTAAGCGAGTTTCTCTATATACCTCTATAACTTCTAAATATCTGCACAGATTTGGATAGATTAGGTTTTTTAGCATTTTTACATTATCCTGAGTGACAAAAGGTATATTTTTTACTGTTTGGTAGGGTAGCAAT